TTTTTAATGGCTCTCCACGCAATGCAAGCAAGTTATTCTGCACTGTCAAGAATGCTGGATTCCTACTAGCAACAGTCAGCGGTTTCTTTTTAGTTGCGAAAGCTGCAGGAGGCTCTGGCTGCCTGGCAGCTGTGTGTCAGAGCCTGAGGAGGACGCTGGCAGAAGCAGCACATCCAGCCCTCTGYGTACGTGCAACATATCCCCATTCCCTCACTCCTGGAGGGAAAGGGGTTTCCCACTTTCCCTCTGCCTGGCACYGCAGTCTGCTGGCCCCTGCTCTGCCATGCTGCTGGAAGGAAATGGTGAGGAAGCCAAGCTCAGTGTAAAAATGGGTTAGAAGATGGTTCTTATTACAAACATTAAGCTGACAATGTGGCAGACTGGAACCTCTCCGGCCATTACACAATACTAGGAAATTTGGAGTTTAATTGCAATATGGTATTAAGTCAGCCTGACATCAGCATCCCCTTTTGCACAAAGACAGTCCTGGTTACAATGAAAATGTCCTGGGAGATCCCACACCTGATGATGGAAGAGGTAATGACGTGTGGGGGCAAGGGTCTCTTTTACCAACACAGCTGGCTTAAGTTCAAAGTTTATTCATAACAGAGCTCCTCCTTTACTGCCTAAGGAGCACCAGGGCAAACACAGGTTAGTAATCCATCAAAAGTACACATCAACTACTTAAACCCAAAACTACATGCTACTGAACTCATCATGAGCCGGTAGCGTGCGCTCACAGCCCAGAAAGCCAAATGAATCCTGGGCTGCAACCGAAGCAGCGTGAGCAGCTAGTCAGAGGAGGTGATTCTACCCCTCTTCTCCTCTTGCAAGACCCTCACCTGYMGTGYTGCATCYATCTGTGGGGTTCCCAACACACRAAGGACATGGAACTGTTGGAGTGAGCCCAGAGGAGGCCACCAAGTCCATCAGGCGACGGAAGAACCTTCCCTGTGAAGTCAGGTTGAGAGAGCTGGGTCTGTTCAGTCTGCAGAAGAGAAGGCTCCAGTATCTGAAGAAGGCTACAAGGAAGCCAGAGAGGGACACTGTGTCAGGAGCTGTAGTGATAGAACAAGGGGGAATGGCTACAAACAGAAAGAGGGAAGATTTAGGCTGGGTATGGGGACAAAATTCTTTACTGTGAAGGTGGTGAGACACTGGCACAGRTTGCCCAGGGATGTTCAAGGACAGGTTGGACAAAGCCTTGAGCAGCCTGATTTAGTGGGAGGTGTCCCTGCCCGTGGCAGGAGGGTTGGCACTAGGTGGTCTTTAAAATCCCTTTTATATGCTGTGATTCTATTAAACCGGCAATGGCAGAATTTTAGCCCTATAAACCCATGAGCGTGYGTAATAATTTACCAAAAAGTCTGTCTGTGCCACTCACATCAAGGGGGACATTGAGGAGCTGGAGTGTGTCTAGCAATGGGAATGGAGCTGGGGAACGGTCTGAAGCACAAACCTGGCTGAGGGATCTGGGAAAGGGGCTCAGCCTGGAGCTAAGGAGGCTCAGGGAAGACCTTGCGATTCTGCACAACTCCCTAACAGGAGGGGGCAGCCGGGGGAGGGGTCGGGAACAGGGACAGGAAAGGGAACGGCCACAACCTGTGTCAGGGAAAGTTTAGTTTGGACATCACATCAGAAGGAATTTCTCCACAAAAAGGGTGACCGGGCATTGCAACGGGATGCCCAGGGAGGCGGCGGAGTCACYGYCCCTGGAGGTATTCAAGGCACGCCTGGACGTGACACTCGGTGTCACAGCCTCGCTGACACGGAGCTGTCCGGTCACAGGCCTGACTCGATGACCGCACAGCCCTTTTTCCCGCGATCGATCCCACATCCCTCCCGCTGCCGGTGTTTGTATTTGTGCGGCCCTGCCCGCGCCCCTCCTCCCGCTCAGCCCGCCCTCAGCGCCCCGCGCCTGCGCCGTGACGAGCGCCTCAGGCCGCGCATGCGCTCCCCCGCCCGCCGAGCCCGACACCGCCTCCCTCCTCCTCCTCCCTTTCCCGGCCTCTTCCCCGCCACCTCTTCCCGGGGAAGGGACGAGGGCGGCCGGAGCGCGGCACACACCCGCCGCCATGCAGATCACGCTGAAGACCCTGCAGCAGCAAACCTTCCGCATCGACATCGACCCCGAGGAGACGGTGCGGTCATTCTCGGGCTCCCTCCCCCCCCCCGCCCACCACCCCCGGGACGCGGCCGTGCGGAGGGATGCGGGGATCTGTCCCCTCGCCCCGCGGGAAAGGGAGGGACGGACCCCTCCTGTGGAGGTGGCCGGAGCTTCAGTGGGAGATTGGGGCCGTGGGGATGATGCGGTGATCGCTCGGGATGATTTTGGGGGATTCGGGGCCGGGGGGAGGGAAGGGGGTGAGCTCAGCTGGAGGTGATGAGGGACCCCTTTTCCTCGGGATGCTGCTGGGTGAGAGCGACTTCCCATCGCCTAAGGAAAGGGGCTGCTGTGGCCAAACCTCCGGCGGAAGGACTTTCCCCCCTTGTTTTTGAGGAGAACGCCCCGGAGGTGGGAGGGGGAATAGCTCGGGAGATGGAARGGGGGAATAGCTCTGAGGTGGAAAGGGGAATAGCCCGGGGAAGCAGCCCGGGAGGTGGAAAGGGGAAATAGCCCGGGAGGTGGGARGGGGAATAAATACCTCACGTAGTCCTGGGGAGGACAGGAGCTCTATAGGAAGCGAAAGTTCTTCCTTTCGGGAAGCGGGGTGCGTGGGTTAGCGGTCRATGGGGCACAGATCGCTGCTGGTTTATAATGGGAGTACTGGGAGAGGGGATGGTGCGAGTGCATCTCTCTGCCGGGTGGGGCTGGGGGTACGGCAGAAGGAAAACGCGGTGGTCCTTCCCATCCTTCCATGGATTCCCACCAGAAGGGAAGCACTGAGAGAGTTGGGAGGTTTTTTTGCTGGGGCAGGGGTGTGAGCTGGACAGGGGCTGGGGTTTGCTCCCGGGTGTGTCCTGTGCACCCGGGCAGGTGTGTGCTGTGGAGGTGGGAGAGAGCGGGGAGCGTTTATTATTTGGCCTCACGGGGCGAGCTGCAGTGATTAATCATTCTGCCCATAGGAGGGGAGGGAGTGTGGGGCAGAGTGTCCCACTCTGACCACAGTGGAACCAGTGTTGGGGTGCATAGTGGGCTTCACAGCCTTATTTCCCCTTCCCTGTGTGTGTCTGATGATGCTGCAAGTGAGGAAACATGTTTTGCTTCCAGGTGAATGTTTTGGCACATGGGAGCCCGCTGGAAAATCCTCAGGGAAATGCAGTGTTCTGTGATGAGAGGAAGGGCCTTAAGTGAGTTGTCAGGGTTGGAAGTTGCCTTGTCACTTGCYTGAGTAGGGATGGTGGCTCTGATAKCCAAGTCCAGACACACTTGTGGCCTTGGTTTTAAAGGTCTGGGGAGGCTGGCTGCTGAAGCGTTGTTTGCAGCAACCTTTCCTGTGACAGGTGGGCAGTGAAGCTCTAGAAACTATGGAGCATTGTATCTGCTTTTAGAAAGTCTGTTGGTTTACCCTCTTCCCAAAAATAAAGAATGACAGTTAAAGTTGGAGTGAGGTCTCATTTGGGTTAGCATGTGACCAAAGAACATGGCAAAGGCCTAGGAGAAGCATGGGTCAGAAACCTTGAAATATTTAAAACACAGGTCTTAGCTGTTACTGAGAAAAGCTATCTTTTTTTTTTTTTTTTTCTTCCTCCTGGTCTCTGCATTCATTGAGGTCCTGGGAAGGAAATTCAAGGAGACGACTGAAAGAATGTTGCCAGTCAAAGCCCTCAGCAGTTTATGAGACAGCAGAATGCAATGACTACAAGTTGGATTGTGGGAAATGAGACTGCACCCTCTGTTTATAAATGTAGCTGCTACAGTAGCTCAAAATAAAAATGCTCCTCATGAGCATAATAGTTCAGATTTTGGCCAGGAATTGGTGTTAAGACAGAGGAAGTTAGGGTAGAATTTAAGGAGAAATTAATTTAAAAAAGAGCAGGGTAAATATTATTATTAGCTGTAGAGGTGAAAACTGTGTTTAAATTTCCTTGGCACATTTTTTATAAAATTATGAAGAAATTACTGTTGGAAATGTTAAAAACCATAGAGCTTAGTAAAGAGAGGGACACTTTTGAACCTTCAGTTACAAACTGAATCATAACATCAGAAAATACTTTGAAATGTACTATGTTTAGCAAGCATCTCACCAGTATCTGCTCAGAAGTTCTCAGTCAGATATTTTGAAATATACAAATTTTAGCTAAGTGCACTGGTTTCTTAGATTAATTTCCTAACACCTTGAAATATGCTTCATAGACTTTGGGAAACATTAGTTTTAGTCTTTGGACCATGTGTATATTTCTCAGAGGTAGGGTTGTTTACTTGGAACTCTGTCCCATGCTATGACAAGGCCAAAATCATGGAGTTGTGATAGGCACGGGAAASCTATTGCTCTGAAGTTGGGTTCTGGTCCTGGTAAAATTGCTTTTCAGTTTCTGGCAATTTCTCCCCTTAATCTGAGTACCAAATTAATCTGGAGAGACCTGATGTTAGTATGCAAGGTAGCATTCTGACAAGACTTAATGCTTGTAACTGAGAGCTGTCATCAATAGTAAGAAAAATTTAAACCAACCTCCAGTGAAAATTTGAAGAAACACACTTCCTGAAAACTAATTAGCCTTGCTAATTAGCTTTTTGCATAAGCAACTGGTCTTTTTTTTTTTTTCCTGTTAAATCACACAGTTGAATTTTAAGTTTCACACTTCACTAGTGTGACTCTCATTTTGGTTTAGCTTAGTGTTTTAAAACACTGGCCAACTGAGTATTCTGAGTGAATAAAAACTGCACTTGAAGCTATCTTGCTTGCCAAAGCGCTGGGTGAAGACTGTCAGATATTCTGACTAACTACAGAAGACGAAAAGATTTAGGCTCAGGCCCTGTTATTGGAGAAGGCTTTTTATCAAATGGGGAAATTTTTGCAGGCCTGGCTGTTTTTCGTTAAGTTTTGTGTTGCACCCATCGAGCTGCACAGATGGGTGGATTTACCCATTGTGGTGCGGCCACTCAGGGCTTGAGCTTTCACGTTTAAACAGGGTAAATGAAAGCATGTATCCACCTGCACAAGCTGCTGCTTCTTTTTGTTGACTGACTGTGAGAAAGTAAATATGTTAAACATTGTGTTAGCAACAAATAATAAGCAATGTCCRACACTGCAGACCTGTGTGACCACATCTCTTGTCTGAGGTGACAGTGCTGACACTCTAGGCTTATAAAGGTTGTACTTCTGTTGCAGTTATCACTATGTAGACATGAAGCAGGCTTTAAAAAAATCTTCAACAAACATTCCTAACTTTGAAAGTGAAACACCAGGCAAAAGTAAGTCTGTCCTGTTTTGTTTTCAGCTCCCCCTGCACTGTTAACCTAAAATGTGGTTATAAAAATGCAGAGAAGTGCAAGGAATATTCAGGATGTCAGCAGTCTTTTGGCTGCAGTCTGTGTCACATAATATGGGCTTTCACATTTCAGTATTACACCACAGCACTTGAACACCCAGGAAAAGCCGTCTAGTTTAACACCATGTCAGCAGAACATTCAGTTGTGGAAGTTTGAGCTTCTGTATGTTCTGGTGTGTCCTTAGTATGTGCATGCTTTGTTGTTAAACGTGTTTATGGGAATTTTTGGACACTAATGTTACTGTGTCAGAAGAATTAACTTTATAACAGTTCTGCAAGAATCAGGTACTATTGCTGAGTGAAATGGTCGAAGTTGTCTCTAGTTGTTGTAACCTGTGAACGAGTATAAATGTACTCTGGACAATCTCCTTCCTGCATGTGTTTTCAGTGCAGGTTRGTCCTGCAGCTGTGGGTAGGAAGATTGTTTTTGTATTTCCCGGGGAGTTTATCATTTTAGTCGTTAGAGGAACAGTTCTCAGTTCTTCTAGTTTAAAGATGTTTTTCTGTTTCAAGTCCTGGTGTTTTTCTGTAATTGCTCAGTAGATTTTACAGTAGGTATCCTCCTCCTTCTTCTAGCGGATTGTTTTGTTGTTCTTGCCTCTCCTTAGAATTTTGTTACTGAATGAGTGTGGTGTACTTGCACAGATAGAGGAGGTGTGAATTCGAATGTCTTGCACTCTCTGCTTCTGGTTTGATACATGACTCTGCAAAATTGTAACTTTGGAGATCACTAGAATAAGAGTATCTACTTTTTTTTTTTTTATTGCTTTCATGCTTTCTTTGCAGACTGTAGCATTTTCGAGTTGTGGTTTGCTACAGATCGTATTGTTTTAATTAACTCCTTGGGGAGGTTTTTTTTTGCTACTTTTCTTTGGTAGACAGTCCTTTTTTGTTTCTTGGCCAGAGTTAGGATTTTCAGGCAAGGAAGTTGTTACGACTCTTGGCTGAAGAAGGCTAAGCTTTTCCATGTTCAGGAACATTTTCCTGAAATTCTAGTGAGTTCTAATGTAATATCTGAAGAAYTTTGAGCAGGATTACATATTTTTTTTTTAAAAAAAAGACTAATAAAGGAAAGAATAAGATAGCATAAATTACTTAATACAACTAAATTATTTTATTCATATTGGAATATGTTTTTACATCAATGTTACCCGTTCTTTAAATGCATTGACTCTTCTGCCCACAATTTTTCAGCTATTTTATTGCGAATGTTCTTACCCAGTTTAGCTGTCAGCAAAGTTAGCTTTGTACTTTTAATAATTATGTGCTGTATTTCTCAATAATGTGAACTTTCTTGGACCATGATTCCCAAGGTGGCCAGTACATAAAGTTAAATATACAGGTTGTATCCACTTAAGGATAGTTCTATACATATATTTAAAGTCTATTTTGCACGTATGATTAGAAAGCAGGGGTATCTGTCCTTGATATTAAAGGTGTTCCCTTTGAAACTTGGTGAAAGTAGAAAGTACATTTTAATTAAAAAGAATAATATGAGCAGATGATCCTACTGCTGTCTAGAGTCCCATTGCTGCGCCTTGTGCATAGATGGCCTTGTTTACTGACAAATCTTTGGAAAATATTGTCTTTGTATTCCTGAAACACAGGAAAGAATAKCCATAGGTGTAAGATAGGGTGGTGGAAACTTACAGCACTAAAGGATATGGCTGGCAATGTCTTCTCCCAGCAAGATTTGTCTTTGGCCGCT